GTGTGAGCGCGCGGCCTGCTTCTATATGCATGAGATTCCCGCGGTCATCATTCAAACAATCTAACCAGTGTGTGTGACGCGAACGGTTGGCGGGAAACGGTGTTCAGGTAATTATAAAACTTCACCAAACGGCTGCTTATTTACACACTGAGCATTGCGATGTGACGGTTATGTGTATTGAAGAGAACCAGCCCGTCATTACCACATTTAAAGGCTAATGTTCGTGTAAACGCTTTATTTAAGCATACCCGCTCACTAAACATGCTTAAAACGCGATTACAGGCAGAAATTGAGTAGTAAAGTTAATATAAGGGGTGTAATATTCATCTGCCGGTATTTTGCGCAACCTCTCAGCTCATTCAATCGAGATGTGCCTCAGACATTCATTTCAGTCGGTCATGTCCGGTGATACTTCAGCACGATTTGAAATACTTTGGCCATCCTGAGGTGTATTTGAACGTAATCTTCTCTTAAATGAGTAAATTGTGATGATATAGTATGGTTGACAGCACAATATAAGCAAACATGACTTCTTCCTGGGTCAGGAACAATAATGTGAACCTTGACCGCGAAACTAACCTAACCTAAAGTTGGGTTTGTATTCGGATATTCTGCTTAATAATGCCATTTCAGTAAAGTATTCTGTGCTAAATCTAAATATTGAGGTGAAGTTGGTTTTATATTCGCCCATTCGTTCATTTAAATGTCTCTATATTGTTTACCACGCTATTTTTAATATATTCAGTCAGAATTAGCATGCTAGTATGACTTCAAAACAACACCATCACTATCTAGTTGACTGTAAACATGGCTGTGCTTTGATAGTCATTGGCTGCTAATGATTTCCTAATTCAGAATTAGCAAAATATACTTTTCTAAAAGGATATCATTACTGTCTGAATATCCAAATATAAACTAACTTTACCTCAATTCTAAATTAGGAAATCAAATTAGCAGCCAATGACTATCAAATTATATTGTGTTGGTGTTGTTTTAAAGTCATACTCGCATGCTAATTCTGATTGAATATTCAAAATAGCGTGGTAAACCCTATATAGAGACAGTTAAATGAACGAAGGTGCGAATATAAAACCAAATTTACCTCAGTAACCAACCTGTAGACTTGAACTAACCGTTTATTTAGCCGGATAACTTATCACGTGACGAGTTGTTCACCCTGGAAAAAGTGTTTACTCAACATTTTTAAAGCCTACTGTTGCTTTTCTCAATTTGTTCATATTCCAAATGTGTTCGTTTGCTTTCATGTGAAATCGGAAGAGAAAGTTTCATTATGTTTCTTGTTGAAGGCTTAGCTCAATTACAATTTTTGACAACTTTAAACAACAGATACATGACAATATAGTGAACAAAGTAATGCCAAGGTGATAGAAAGAAAATAACAACAGCACAAAAAAGTAAATAAATAAAACAAGAGTGTTATTAATTAACAAAAAAAAAAAGTTTTTTATTTATTTGTACATTATTAGAATTACTGCAAATGTACCAGAATTAGCCAGAAGGCTATTTTTCCTCTGTTTTCCCTGAACAACCTAAAAAAACAATACAAAAATTATACAATCAATCAAACATAGTTATGTAGATGCTAATAAAAAAATTTAAATATACAAAATAAAATAAAAAACACCAACATTTTGTAGTTCTCATAATTACAAACAAGCAGGACCTTTACATTAATGAAAAGTTTTGAAACTAGAGCACGGTTGGACGATTTTAAAGCGTTTCTATTAGCACTATGCTGAATAGTGCAAAAGTAATTTTTCAGTTCCTTATAAAGCACAATTAATCCGGGTTTTTGTTGGAAAATTAACACTTTTGAATATGAAACTGAGTTAACAAAATAAATAGGTTAATAACACAAACTTCATTAGTCAAGTTATCGTAATTAAAATATCCAAAACTTACGTTTTCAAAATTAAAATTAAAGCGTACCTGATAAAAACCGAAGCATCATAGCAAAGCTTTTTAACATAACCACAGTGCCAAAACATGTGGGGTGCGTTTACATTTAGTCATTTAGCAGACGCTTTTATCCAAAGCGACTTACAAATGAGGACAAGGAAGCAATTTACACAACTAAGAGCAACAATGAATAAGTGCTGTAGGCAAGTTTCAGGTGTGTAAAGTCTAAGACGCAAAAACATTAGTAAATTTTTTTTATGTAATACAGTTAGCGGTGGAGCCAGAGAGGGAATTGCAGATTAGGAAGGAAAGTGGAGACTAAATAGTTGAGTTTTTAGTCGTGTCTTGAAGACGAACGAATGTACGAGTTTTAAACTTTACCTCAATCATTTTGGATGGAAATTTCTGACGTTTCTGAACTCTTCATATATTCGTTTTTAAGTGAACTATCCCTTTATATTAGTTGACTAAATGACTGTCATGATTGTGTTTAACAGTTGAGCTGTGATGGCCAAGCGGATTGCGGAAAAAGAGTTGACCGACAGGAACTGGGATCAGGAGGATGATGGAGAAGAGGTGCGCCACTTTCCAGCACTGCACTAGTTCATTGTCAAACATCATTACTTTCCAAGTGGAAACACTCTTAACCAAACTATGCGTCTAAAACAACACTTAAAGTTACAGTCCACCTAAACATAAACATTTACTCGCCGTTTGTTTGTTTCAACCTGTTTGAGTTTCTGTCCTCTGTTGAACACAAAACAAGATACTTTGAAGACGGCTGGAAAACAGCCATTGATGTCCGTCGTATTTGGTTTGGTTCATACTATGGATGTTTTTTCCTAACATTCGTCAGAACATAATAGCTGCGTCTCATTTCAGACGCTGCAGACTTCAAAGGCGAGTCCTTCGAAGTCCACGCAGGCCGAACCGAGCGCTTTGAAATGAGATGATCTAGCCTAAAGAGGACTCATCTAGCAAGCGTAAAAGCTGCAGTTACTAATAAAATTTGTTATGACTTTTTTTTTTTTTTTCAAAGTGATTTTAAAACTTATTCTAAAGGCAAAACAAGTTTATAAAAGCTGGGAATATGTTTCCTTTGATCCGTACATGTACACACAACGTTACTCGTTTGTAAGACATGTCGTACTCTTTTTGTTTTTTAACGTGTTTAGATAGATATCCATGTAAAATAAACCTAATTTAAACATTCGACCTCGTCGTCTGTCCACAAAAATACCTCTTGCTTTCTTTGCCATCGCGTTTAATGTTCAATCGGCGTTTGTTGACTAACAATAACCAAATGCCGAGCGAGACACATGCTTCCTGTTTATACTACAACGGGCATGACCAGAGTGCGCGAATGGTCACGTGATATACGTTTTTGGTGGCGTAGTGTGGACGGAGAAATGTTCAGAGATGCTAGTGTGGACGCGGATCGTTTTTGATCTAAAACGCCATTTTAAAACTAAAACGCACTAGTGTAAACGGGGCCTAAAACACCTTACCGTTTCAGTATTAGTGTTATATTATTAATGACATCCAGAATCAAGAACGTCTGTGCTCCACGTCTGACACCTTCAAACGCCACCTTCACTTCACTGCATGTCAGCATCGTCTTCTGAGGTCAGAAGTCATTTATTAAATGAAGAAAAGATTGACGCAGCCTCTCCAAACGCAGCAATTGACGTCTTTACTGTTGATATTTGGCGCCAGTTAATCAGAAAGTGACGATTTTGTTCGCTTTGACTCGTTGGATGGAAACGCTGCTTTATTCGCGCGTCTATAATCCAGTTTTGCGCATAAATTTAATTAGCATTTTCGGATCGAAACATAGCTAATGATGGACTAAAGTTTTGAGGCAGTGTGAAGAATTTTATTAATTAGATTTTGTGCAAAGATTTAAACATAATTAAACATATTAGCCTATTCTCTCAAGCGCTTTAAGTTTAAATATAATTTTTTGTGTAGATATTTGTGCTCCGTATTTACAAATCATGCTGTGCTTCTTGCCAATTTTAACCAGGGGTAATTATTGTCTCTTCAGGCAGGAACGTTTTCGATTGCGAGTGATGATGTGATGAAAAACCGCGCCATCAAGAAAGCCAAGCGGCGTAACGTTGCAGAGGTAAAACCCTTCCTGCATCCCAGCAGGCGCCCAGTTGTTTATTTAAAGCGATTATAGTTCACATCAATACTGCTGTTTTGTCGCAGGGAGAGAGTGGAGGGGCTTTCAAAGCGTTTAAGGGGTTTTCTCTGGCTCCAGCCACAGCGACGGCTTCGTTCTCTGGCTTCGGCAATGGTGCTGGCTTCAAACCCATGGCCAGCCTGACCAATGGCAGCGTGGCATCAGTGGCTCCGTCATTCACAGGTTTCAACGTTCCTGCATCTGCTAAAACTAACAGTGGTACGTTACTATCTCTTTCTAATTCACTTTTATGTACGTGTATGTATATTTAGTAGTGTTGGGGTACTCGAACTTGGACTCGGACTCGAGTCCAGTTTTCATTGGACTCGGACTTGTCACGGACTTGGGGAAACTTTTACTCGGACTTGACTCGGACTTGGACATTTTGGACTCGGAAAATATCACGAGTCCAGTCGAGTCCACATCATTCACAACACAAATAAAGATATTAAAAATGAATAAATAACAGCATGAAAGTATAACAAGAATTTAGCGATCTCTCTGGCTGCATGTCAGCTTTTATTTACGCCACCGCACCATACCAGCAGGCAGCATAAGCACGTCATCACCCTAAACGTGTAACCAGAAATAGCCATAATCACACAATGCGTGGCTAGGTTTCAGCAATAATTTGTCTTCTACCGACATGTTGAAAGAAAGCAAAGAAAGGTAAGAGCTTATTTACTTGAATTGTACATTCATATCGTAGGGATGATGTTAAAACATCTTGGCGATATTGTTTTGTTGTTTATATTGGTGTCAATATATCCGCAAATAACTGTGAGATTCAAAGTTTCACTCTTTGGCTCTGAGCCAGAGAAATATTCGTTCAGCGCTTGATTTAGGCCAGGGCTTCTCAAATCCGGACTCCGTAATATTCAAAGTTTTCCTGTGTGACTCTTGTAATGACATCCCCGCAATCATCCCGATTAATTTTCCAATTCTTCCCCCTTATGCTTAATCTTTCTATGAAAAGTGAAAGCACCGTCAACACAGCGATCTGAAATGCGATAGAACTGCAAGAGCTGTTCAAGAGAATTGTGCTTTCGCTTTATTTTGGCTTGAAAGCACGTTAAAATGAATATAAAAATGTCTGCATTCACTTCCATTAAAGATGTGCGTCGATCATCACATTTCTGAATCAGTGTAGCCTATACATGCTGACTGACGGACGCGTTCCGTATAATAAACTCATCCCAGATCCCAGATCAGCTTCTGCTTTTGAGGATAGGGTTAGGAGAGTATAAAGATTGTGTAAAATTACAGTAATTAAATGATGGAATAGCAAAAATGTTGTAATAATGTTGCTTGGAGTTGCATATTAAGTCAATATAAGCACAAATGAATTTAATGTAGAGTTATATTAAAATCCAGACAACATTCAGAATGGATAATCAGTGGACTAAGTCCACAAATTCAAGCAATAATTTAATCTTTTTAAAGATAAAATGAGGTTTGACTTTGAATTTGTGTAAAAATTAATATTCAGGTAATATTTTGATGAGAGACATTGGAGAGATTAGGGGTGCCTGTGTCCACAATGTGAGTCTTCTGTGTGAGAATAAACATCACTGATTGTGAGCAGCAGTATATATCTGCCATGTTGAATATGCAAGAGAGAATCTGATAATGACACATTTCTGATTCTATTTATATGTAGTCAATGACCGAGTGCAAGAATATGTGTATTGCACAATTAATCATCTCAAATGTTTCGTTTTAAAATAATTCAGAATTATGCATAGTTGTATGCTGATGTCATCATCACTGTCTTTTGAACAGAGGACCAGGACTATGACCTATATCCTCAAAAGCCCCCCACCCTCCATTTATTTATATATATATATATTTATATTATTTATATATATATATATATATATATATATATATATATATATATATATATATATATATATATATATATATATATATATATATATACATATATATATATATAATTATTATTATACAATTAATATTCTAAATAAATAACAGAAATGTGTCCTAAATGTAACTGGAACACAAAGACACAACAGGAGCGATGTATTAAGATAATTTGAGAAGTCTTTTGCAAGAATATTAATTTAATTCGACAATTCCATAAGATACAAAAAATATGTTTTATAGAATTATCTGTGGGCTGCACGGTAGCGCAGTGAGTAGCACTGTCGGCTTACAGCAAGAAGGTTGCTGGTTCGAGCTACGGCTTGGTCAGTTGATGTTTCTGTGTGGAGTTTGCATGTTCTATTCGTGTTGGCGTGGGTTTTCTCTGGGAGCTCCGGTTTTCCCCACAATCCAAAAACTATAGGTGAATTGATTAATTAAATTGGCCATAGCATATAAAGGGAAGGGCATCCGCTGTGTAAAACATGCTGGATAAGTTGGCGGTTCATTGCGCTGTGGCGACCCCTGATTAATAAAGGGACTAAGTCGAAAAGAAAATAAATAAATGAATGAATGAGAATTATATGTTGTCTTTTTAGACCTGAATTTATCTTGTATAAATCATTAGGCATGTTTTAGGCCTAATACCTGCCTGACTCTTCATCCTTCTTTTCTGCTTCATAGCATGTTTAGTTAAAATAAGATCAGCATCATATTGTTTTAATTTTTGTTTTGTCCAGTTGCAAAACTTACACGGGTTTCACAATGCATAATCGCTGCGTATTTTTTCGAGGTGTCCCAGAGTTGCAAAAACTTCTAAGTGTTTGGAATGTACACTTGCTTTATTAAAATGAAAGAATGTCCAAGACAAAGCTAATAAGTGTCTTATGAGTATATGTACACTAGCAGTGGAATTTACTGGAATTCACCTGAAATCTTGCCTAGGGCTCCAAATTGGTTAGGGCTGGGCCTAATCATGATCATGCTGGATAATCGTGTGTGCTCGCCTGTTTTAACACACTGCAGCAAAGCAATCATTTTAATGGAAGAAGATGTCAGTCTCACTGAAAAGAATTGATGAAGAGAATAGACAGTTCAAAGTTGAATGAACAGATAAGTATGTGTTTATTTTGCCCTAAGCCAGCTCGAATCAGTAACCTTCTTGCTGTGAGGCCATTGTGCTACCCACTGCGCCACCGTGCTGCATCTTATGGATGTTTATTAAAAACAAGTTATGTAATATCAATTGTTTAATTTCTTTGCTTTGACCTTAATAAAAAAAATTCAGATTTAGAACTTTTAATGTAGACATTGAGAACCCCTGTTTCAGGCTATCATTAACAGATAGACCCAGATCAAGAGCCTAGAAATCTGCACTGGACTATTTTTTCAGTCTGATTCCCACTGGGTTTTATTTTGCACCCAATCGCCCCCACTATTTAATCACTCTTTCTTTATTTAAAACAAAATCTTTCTGACTGTTAATTCCCTGTTAAGACAGTGGTGAAGCCGAATGGTCTCCCTTTGCTGAACCTTTTATGTTCTGTGCTGATCTGGGTCAGTTGGCATGAGTATGGTTTCATTTTCCACACTGGGGCTGATAACAGTTCTCTGTTATTTGATGTTTAATGTTAATAAAAATGCATTTTTGCCTTGGTAATGCAAGCGTATTTTAAACAAGAAATGTGAAAAAGTGGCATTAGAATAATGTCAATCGTGTGAGTCTTGTAAAATAATAAAAATTCGACATATATCCTCCTATTTTTATTTTAATTTGAAGCAAGCTAACAAAAAATACAAGTCATTTTGTAAAAATGTACAAAAAGTTTAAATTCTTCATTTAACAGTTTAATTGTTAATAGAAAAATATATTTGATTTATTATTATTGTTATTTTACATACGTGGTACCATGGCTCAATGCTTAGCACTGTTGCCGCACAGGGACTGGAGTCAGGAGTGTTTCTGTGTGGAGTTTGCATGTTCTCCGTGTGTTGGTGTGGGTTTCCTCCGGGTGCTTCGGTTTCCCTCACAGTCCAAACACATGCGCTATAGGGGAATTTAATTTACTAAAATGGCCGGGGTGTGTGAGTGTGAATGAGAGTGAATGGGTGAATGGTGGAAGGGCATCCACTGCGTAAAACATATGCTGGACTAGTTGGCAGTTCGTTCCGCTGTGGCAACCCCTGATAAATAAGGGACTAAGCCAAAAGAAAAAATAATAAATGAGTTTTAAGACTGTCTGGACTCGGCCGGACTCGGATGTTAAGGACTCGGACTTAAGTCCGACTCGACCCCTTTTGGACTCAGACTCGGACTTGTACTCGACTGGTTAAGGACTTGGTCTCGACTTGGACTCGACAAAGGTGGACTCGACCCCAACTCTAATATTTAGGAAGCAGCCCTTCTCATCACAGTAATTTGTTGTGTATTAGTACAGAAAACTACACTTAATTATCCATGAAGTAAGGGGTAAAGTACATTCAGGCGGTTGTTGACCGTTAACGAACACCTGACAATGCAACAGCTTCACACAAATGTATCGCATGTTCTTGCATTAATTAAAAGTTGAGCGTTTTAAAAATCGTATGTTGTATGCGTGACTGCAGTGCGCTGTGATTTGGCCTCATCTGCGCATTTGCGCTGTATCTCCTTCACTCGCCATGCTGAAACCCACAGAAACTCCCCACACACACACAGACACATGAGGAAATGTGATGTCAGCAACTGATTTACATACTTGGAGGTGATTGGAGAGGTCTTCGCATGTGCAATGCATGAGAAAGTGTACATGCATTCTAGCAGCACACTCCATTTCCGCATTACTGGATCTGTAGCGACAACAGACCGCAAGGGATGATGGTCAAGCATGGGCTGATGGGAATTGTAGTTTTCGCTACCTCCCGTTCGCTTCATTCGCCTGAGCAAATTTTCTCAGAAGACCTATAGTTTTACCGAGTCATGCGACTTCGGTAATATCGAAAAAATTAATATTGCGGTATGACGGTATTTACAATACCGTTACATCCCTATGAACTATAGATCACAGGACGCACCGAATTGTGAGAGGACGACGAGACAATACGTTTTTTTTACCAAGAGCCATTGCATCCCTAATTATGTATCTCCCTCTCTTCATGCACAGGTCCTTTAACATTCAGCAGCTCCACCCCCTCCAAGCCCACAGACGGTGAGGTCACCTCCAACGGCTCCGCCCCCAGCAGTAAAGAGTACAACCGGCAGCTCACAGCGCTGAACTGCTCGGTGCGCGACTGGATCACCAAACACGTCAACGACAACCCGCTGTGCGACCTCAACCCCATCTTCCGGGACTACGAGCGTCACCTGGCCAGCATCGAGAGGAAATACGGCAGCGGGGCGGCAGACGAAACACCAGGGAAGCCGCTGGCATCCTGTGCTGCGGCTCCGCAGACCGTCTCCCTCAAAAACAAGGACGACAAGCCTCCAGCAGAAAAGCCAGCAGCTCCTCCGGGAGTCTCCTTTAATTTCGGAAAGAAGGTGGACAGCTCGGTGCTCGGGGCGCTGTCGTCAGGTGGAGCGCCGTCGTTTTCCTTCTCCTCTTCGTCTTCTTCTTCTGCTGTGTTTGGCTCAGCCGTCAGTAGCGTCAGTAGTCCTGTGGTCAACTCGGACAGCAACAGCCAGACTGCAGGTACACGCTTGCTTTGCTTTGATGGCTAGAGCTGCGCAGTATGACTAGTTGAAGTCAGTATTGTTAAGCCGCCTGTCTAATTCAGTTCTTTAATTATTTCCCAGCGCACTTGTAAATGTATTGTTTTTTATAACTCATTTTGTTGTCATAATCACGACAGCACTTAATATTACAAGATACTAGTATTCAGCTTCGTGCAATTTAAAGGCTTCACTGGGGTAATTAGCCAAGTCGTTGGTTTACAGTGGTTTGTTCTGAAGACAATTCAGAAAATCTGTTATTTAAGGGATGATTAAACCTTGATTAATTAATCACTTTAGCTCGATTAGTTATTGAAGGATTTTAGCTGCGTCCCAAATCGCATACTTGCGCACTGTTCTACGCCATTTTGTAGTATAAATAGTGTAAGTAGTGCGTTCACATTGAAAACCCGGATGATGCTCTCATTCAGCCGCTAAAATAAAGTGTGTATAGCCCTTTTTCTTGGAACGCAAAATTACCCATTATGCTTTGCGTGTATGCTGCGCAAGGAGAATGCGAAGAACTTCCGGTCGGCAGCTGATGCGTGTAAACAGTCACATTTGCACAGCTTTGAAACGAGTTTTAATCTATGTTACCTGCTTTTATCCTCTTTGAACTAATACTGTTGTCCATCAGCAGCATCTCCGGGACTGATCATTTAAAGAAATGCGATCTAATAGGATGGAAAACAGCTGCTGTGAGGCGTTTTCCCCTGGTTGTCAGACGGCATCTTCTGCAGTTTAAATGAAGCCTCGTCATCGCTAAAGTCAACGTTTTCTCTTTATTTTAAATATATAACCAGCCCAAACTAATGTAATTCACCAAAATGTTTGACACACACACGTAGCCTGTACTGTGCCACTGACACACTGATTTAATAACTGTGACAAAGTGAAAATATAGGCTAGTGTCATTTCGAAATGAAAGAAAAACACAAACCGTGGTGAAAACAACACACAAAATAAAACACAAACGGCTCGCGATTAGAATGAACAGCAAATCAGCAGCAGAGGATCAATAACAGACTTTTATTGCTCATTTTTGTAAATTGCTCGACTTTCATACCTGTTAGGTTTCATGCCAGTACTCTGGTTTGCTCTCTCTCTCTCTCTCTCTCTCTGTGTGTGTGTATTGAAGAGCCGCTGAGCTAACAGCTGACAGGCCGGGAACGCACACACACACTATATTTCTGACGGCAGACACGTGAACTAGGAGAATGTTTTTCTCGTATTTCTGACGCGCTTGAACCACGTGACAGATTATAACGGCTTTAACAGACACATTTCTAAGTTGTGCGTCACAAAAACACTCTGCTATCTATAAAAACGTCATTAGCCGCGTTTCCACTATCGCGCCTAAAGCGAGCGAGCCAAGGCAAGTGGGGTTTCCACTGTCACTTCCAGGGCCTAATCGGGCCAAAGCGGGGCTTTCTTGGGGCCAGCGGCCGGCCTTTTTCGGCCCTCCGAATACCTTGGGCCAAGGAGGGCCAGCTGGGGCTTCGGGGCGGAGTGAAAGGAGAGGCGGGCAGTTTTCTGATCGCACATGAGTACATGCGCCAAACAAATAAAGAAATAAGGGAAAGAAAACATCTAGCCTTATAGTCTGGGGTCTTTTTGCGTATGATCACCCTTATGTTTCCCTTTTAAATGTAAGGCTGCTGCATACAATAATAAAGTAGTTTTAATTTATAGTGACGTTTTTTGCTGCGTCCTCCTTTATGTTTCAATAACGCATAATAATATTTACACCATATTAAACACACAGCAGACAGTAAAGGTTTTCCAGAGTTTTTGTCAAGTTTAAAATGTTTGTTTGTGCATGTTTAGACATGTATGTGTGTGTACGACCGGGCAAGAGCGCTCCTTCACAGCTCTGTTATGCGCGAGCAGCTTTTTTCTTTATTTATTCTGGAGATAATACACAATATAAATACAACAGAAAGACATTAAACTTAACAAATCACGTGCCCACTTTTGTAGACTTTAAACAATATAGTGTCATATCTTGATAAAATAGCCTATATTGAAATATAATTTAAAAAATTACAAATATCGGATAAATATAAAATCACATTAAATAAATTAACCAATATAAAATAAATAAAAGCTAGCTATAACAATGTAGGTAGCCTATATACAATACATAAATCAAATCGTTTTAAAGCCACATATAGCCTAACTTTCATTTTGCAAAGACCTGTCTGAAAAAAAAAAAGATTTTCGATATTTTCTAAAAACTAATCACCGGATAAAGTTTGAAATATTTAAATAAAGTAAATATTTATATAAGTAAATATTTATAAAGTATTTGGATACGATGATATTAATCAAATCGCGCAAACAGAGCATTATTTGGGTGAGTGAAAGCAGAATCTAGCCTATACCTTTGTTTCTGTCACTCAGTCCTGCGCAGCGCAGCTTTAAACGCATCGGGGGAAAGTCCAAACACAAAATGTGTTCTATATCCTCAAACAACTGTTTTTGTTTTTATATGACGTGGTTAAATTTATAAATGAAACTTTAAATGAAGAGCTTTAGTGAATAGCTGCTGAGCGCAACAAATATGGCTATATTTTATTAGGCTACTCGCTCTTGTGCTGAAAACTTAACACGACGTCTATCAAAACGAGGATGTTATAAAATACATGCCATATCGAGTTATAAAGGAGAATTTCTGTGGCTTTATATTATAGATGTGTGCGCTCTCTGTGTTGGGTCACTCCGTTAGTGGCGAGAGCACTTGATGCACAATGCCAACAGTCGGTCGGTGAGTAAACAAATGTAATGAATGGAAATACACAGGTCTGTGCGTACAGACATATAATGTACTGCTGTACAGTGACGTGTCGTTTGTTTGTTTTGGTTGTCTTCATTTTAATGGTTTCGTTTCGTGATGATTCTATGGTCTGCTTTATCTGCCTGTCCTGATTCCCGCTGAAGTGGGCGGGTTGTGTGACGTTTGATTCGGGGACGTTCTGTGGGCGGTGTTTGAGTGACGCGCTGTGAGCTACTAGCCCGACAGTGGAAATGCGACATGATTTCGGCCTCATTTCTCAACCTCCCGGGCTATTAGCCCGGCCCGGCCCCATTAAAGCCCTGGCTCGCACTGGCCCGATAGTGGAAATGCGGCTATTGAAACCCATTTTCAGAGCGCAAATTACCAGTTGTACACGCTGTAAACGCAAGTTTTTAGCATTCTAACCGGAAGACGCTTGTTGCTATGGCGCCCTCCATGCAGCAGCCATGAAAAAGGTCAATATAACAAATAAATGACAAGCATGGATGAATCAAATATAGTAAAGATAAAAGTGAATTAGGTGTTCGCTATTCTGGTACAGATATTGAATAATCAACACTGCACAGTCTTCATTCTATATTATTTCATCTTTATTAAAGTTACACAACATATCTTGTGGCCGGATGTTTTAAACTCTGAATGACTGAAATGTTCACACAGTCACAGGCCTTAAAGGGGACGGTTTACTCAGATTATTCATTTATTTACTTATTTCAGTACCATAGGAGTTATTCGATTATATTATTTCTGTGTTCATTTAAAAAAAAGAAACGTAAGTGTTTGAAACAAGTGAAGGGTGTAATGAAAATGGTAATGTTTGCGTGAAAATAAAAGCATCCAGATGATCAACTTTTACTCCATTATGTTTAAACTCTATATTAAAATATAATACAAACACTGCAAATCCTGCGATGTGACTATTGCGGATGCACACGTTGCGATATCGATGCTGGAACCTAATATAACCTGAATATAGGTTAGCCGTCTTGTTTTCTGTCCTTGGCCTAAAACTTGCTCTCACGTTGATCAAAATCAATTTTATATGGATATAAAAACTGATTGTTGTGTGATAAATGATATGCTGTAATAAAGCTGAACGTCATTGTTTTTCGTATTATTTACCATGTATATGTAGACATTGCATGGAACATTACGTCATGAAAGATGACTCAAAAGTTCTGGAAAAGAGTTTTAGCTGTAAAAATGTGTATGAAGCCTATACTTATCAATAATTTGTCCTTTTTTTTAATGTAAAAAGCACTTTTCTACGGGGTTTAAACAGTTTTGCTTTCACAAAAAAAAAGTATATCTGTTATTAATAGCCTATTTAAGTTTTAAGGTGATCTTTTTCCTTCATATACACAGAGTAAACATGTACATATGCGTCTTATTTTTATTTAATTCGATGGAGTGGTAAACAAGGACAAGCACATTATTCGGCAAATAACCTATTTATTTAATTTAAACATGCTATATGTTATATTTATTTATATCGGCTATTAAAATATACTTTATTTAAACTAGCCTACATTAAATTCAATTACAACCTGCATTTTACCGTTCGTTTTGGCTTTAACAAGTTATTGAACAGATTACTAATAACATTTTACTGAGCTCAGTGAAAAGTTGTGTATGTAAGTATCCAAGATCCAACGTAATGCAAACGCAGTAGGTTATTAGCTATTATTAAAAAAATTAGCCGAAATGTTTAGATATAGTTGAATATAATAATAAAATATTAAATATAAATAAACATAACACTTTTATTTAAGCCCCCTTGCGATAGTTTCGTGTATCGACGATCTCACAGGGGGATGATATGGCGATCTGAAAATTTCGTACACTAGTGGCTAACATACTTAACCACGCCCCTCCAGCTGTCAGTCACTATGACAAGAAACCGAAATGCTGTGGAGGAGGAGTCTGTTAGGTTGTAACGACTTACGGAACCCCTTTCCCCGTCGTTCTGAATGAAACGCCTACTTTACTACAGCAGAAGAGAAAACAAGCCACGCCCACTCTTGCCTCATTTAATATTCCGTTTCTTTAGGAAACGCGTCACAATGCGGAAAAAATAACGGTCGCAGCTTCCGGTTCATGCGGATTTTAACCTTAATTGAGTACACGTTTTTCATTTTGCTTGCGACTATACGATGTCAAGCTAAGCTACGTAAGAAATGCTAACGTTTGTAGCTTTACTGGTGGTGTTTACTCCTAAAGTGGGTTTCCGCTTGTTTCAGATGAGAACGGGGAGGACTCTGAGGAGCCGCCGGTGCCTGTGGTGAAGGAGATCAAGGAGAAAGACGCTTTCTACTCCAAAAAGTAAGCCTCTTGCCTTGTAAACACGTCGTTAGTCTCGCCGGTCTGCTATATTTACTTCACGTTTCCAGGTGTAAGCTGTTCTACAAGAAAGACGGCGAGTTTAAGGAGAAGGGCGTCGGGACGCTGCATCTGAAGATGACCACCGAGAGCAAACTCCAGCTGCTAGTGCGCGCAGACACCAACCTGGGTGAGTCTCTCTCTCACACACACACACACACACACACACACACACTGAAGTTCTTCTGTGTTCATTGTGAGATATAAAGTTACAATCAAGAGCAATTGTCCATTTTTACTTGGTCAAAGGTTGTGCTCTGAGAACGAGACGCAGTGATCTGTCTCCCCCTGTTGGACACTTCTTGAAACGCGTCCACCTCTAGTGTCGGAAACTATTAGTTTATTTTTGTCAATATGTAAATTAATTATTATTATTATTAGCAGCAAATGATCTATTTTACACAACGTTGGTGTATTTAGTTTGTTTTGTCAAAATACAGAATGTATGTATCAGGATAGCTGCGTCTGCTGTTTGTTGTTTTCGCATCGTTTTTATTTGAAAACTAGCTAACTTAATACTTAATGTACACTGTCTCTGCCAAAGAAAAACAATACATTTAAAATAGCTAATTATATAGATTAATAATTATATAGATTATTTTATTATTTTATAATTTTTTATAGTCTTTTTTTCCTGGTGGAGTAGCTCATTTAATCCTTTATTTTACTAAATTTACTTTAGTTTTTGTTTTTTGTTTAGTTCTTTAAAGTGTTTGTGCGCTCACAATTTGTCGTTTTTATTTAAAAATTATCCTTTTGGCTAACTTAATATGCCCTGTCCCTGCCAAAGAATCTGTTAATTAAGATAAATTATTTTATTTTAGGTCATATTATTTTTATTCATTTTGTTATTATATAAATATACAGAGTTTTAATAGAGCAAGAAAAAATGTTCACAGTATGTCTGATAATATTTTTCCTTCTGGAGAAAGTCTTATTTGATTTATTTCGGCTAGAATGAAAGCAGTTTTTAATTTTTAAACACCATTTTAAGGTCACAATTATTCGCCCCTTTAAGCTATATTTGTTTTTGATAGTCTACAGAACAAACCATCATTATACAATAAATTGCCTAATTACCCTAACCTGCCTAGTTAACATAATTAACCTAGTTAAGCCTTTAAATGTGACTTTAAGCTGTATAGAAGTGTCTTGAAGAATATCTAGTCTAATATTATTTACTGTCATCATGGCAAAGATAAAATAATTCAGTTATAAGAGATGAGTTATTAAAACTGTTATGATTAGAAATGTGCTGAAGAAATCTGCACTCCGTTTAACAGAAATTGGGGAAAAAATTAAACGGGGCTGATAATTCTGACTTACACTGAATATAAATATATTTTTGTGGTGAAATGAGTCAGTTATTCTTTTTTTTACTTACTAAATAATTTTATAAAATAGTGTTTTTGTTAAGAGTGTGTTTGCGTGAGCACAATTTGTCGTTTTTATTTTAATTTATTAACTGAACTTAAATTGTCTTAATGCACACACAAAAAAATTACATTTAAATAAATTTTATGAATAATTTTATTTTATTTTTAGCTTATCTTTTATTTTTTATTTTACATATTAGAGATTATCATTTTATACATTTTTTTTGTGATAAGAAGTCAGTTAATGCTTTTTTATGTACTTCATTTATATCATTTTTTTATCTTATCTGATTATTATTATTTTCTTATTTTTGGTATTATATGTTTTAGAGATTATTATCATTTTTTACGTACTAAATTTATTTTCTATAATAGTGTTTTGTTAAAGAGTGTGTTTGCATAAGCACAATTTGTCATTTTTATTTGAATTTAATTTACTGAACTTAATTTAGTTTCACTTCATGCGCGCACACAAACTAAATGTAATTAAATTTTATCAATTTTATAATTTTTTTATTTTAACTTATTTTATTTTACTTTACATTTTAGAATTTTTTTCTTTTTATAATTTTTGTGGTGGGATAAGTCAGTTAATCCTTTTTACTAAATTTTACTAATTTTAAATAATATATATATTTTTAAGAGTGTTCAAAATAAAATAGATGTTTATTGTAAAATTATTATTTTTTTTTATTAATAATATTATCTTTTAGCTTATCTAATTATTATTATTTTCTTATTTTTATTATTATATGTTTTAGAGATTATGAATAATTTTTATTGATTAAATTTATTTTATATAATAGTATAATATTGTGTTTGCATCATTTTTATTTGAATTTAATAATTAGAACTGATATAATTTGGCTTAATGCATATTTGCCCTGCAAGAAATAATTATAAATTAAAAATAAATAATTTTTTTAAATACATTTTTTTATTCATTAATATTATATTATTAAAAATAATTTTTATTTCAGATTATCTTATGTTTATTATTATATATACAAAATATGAAGAGGTTCAAAAATTGAGAAAAAAAGAAAATAGACAATTATTTTTAGTATTTTATACGTTTTTATTTTTGTTGTACAATAAGTTTTTTTTAAATGTACTTTTTAGATGTGTTTTAAATAAAATAAATGTGTTTATTGTAAAATTTATTTTTATTAATAATATTATCATAATTTTTTTAGCTCATCTAATTATATATTTTTATTATTATGCATTTTAGAAATTACCTTTTTTTTGTGGTCAATTAATCTATTTATGTATTTATTTTTATATAAACTGGTGTATTTGTAATAGTGTATGCGTGTTGGCTTTACCCTCTGCGCAGGGAACATCCTGCTGAACATCATGGTGCCCTCCTCCATGCCCTGCTCACGAACTGGCAAAAACAATGTGATGGTGGTGTGTGTGCCAAACCCTCCCGTGGACGACAAGAACCCCAGCGTGCCCGTCCCAGTGCTGATCCGCGTCAAAACAGCCGAGGACGCAGACCAACTGCACCGAGTCCTCCAGGAGAAGAAAGCCTAAATCACCTCCTGTGTGTGTGTGTATATATACAGTACATATATATGTGTGTGTGTGTGACCCACACATACACACCCCTGTGAAGCAGCACATGTCCCCCGTCCGTCTGTCTGTCTGATCGAGAACTGTTATTCTTCTGCATCCCGTTATTGCTCTGGAAAGCCGTGGGTTCACCGACTGTGAAGTTACTGTGAGGTTTGATAGTGGAGCGGGAGTCTGGATTCATCAACATTCCTCTGAGTTTTAATTTAGCTGCTACTGAAGGAGTTCTGCGATGGAGGCCGGAGATTTACCGGGACGCTTTTTCCTTTTGTTGTAGGATTTTCAAGTTCTGTACGGCTTCTCCCGCTCCTGTAGAGGTCAGTATTACATCCACTCGCTTCTCCGACTCGCTGATTTTTTTAATGGCAGGGTTTCCACTGAGAGAACGTCGAGATCAAATCTCCTCTCGGGATGGTGGTATTTATTTTTGGCTTTAAGGATGGAGTGTTCGGCGTACGCTGAGCAACTCGAGGTGTGAGGATGAATGCGGGTTCAACGGCGGTCTTTCTTTCGTTTCTTTAGCTTTGTTTCTCCCTGTAAGTGGCCTTTTTAACGCCTTACACCATGAGGTATGCCGTGTTTTAAGTGTTGAGCAGCTGTTGATCTACTTTACATTCATTTACTGGTGAATAAATCGAACGAATCTGACGTACGACTCTTCATTTCCAATGTACTGCCGTTTAGATTTACCCTCAGGGTTCCCACATGTCTTGCCATAGAGCTTTATCACAGCGGAATTGAATACCGTCAAAGCAGTGTACCGCCTTTTCCCGTTTCGCTAGCAGTCGCAGAAACGGACATTGGATGACGTTCTCACTGTCAACATTGCCATAATTTGGACAAGGAGACATTGTGGTTAATGTGTGAAACAGACGTAGCCTAAATAAAACCACATGGATCTCATTACTGTCGTGATGGCAAGCAGAAGCGTTGTTGTTTATTTAGCTATTTAAAAAGCGCATTAAAGCTGAGATACGACCTGAAAGACGACAATACAACACTTACCATCACAATCACCAGCGCCCTCATGTATCAACGCTGCGTACGCACAAAAACTTTGCGTACGCCAGGTTTCACGCTTAGAATCGCTCACGTTTGGATTTACTAACGATGAACTGAACGTGGGAATGTGCGCAAAACTGTAGTTGTACCGAGTATTAGTTATGTTATCTATTAAATTACCCAATAAAATCTATTTTTTAACGCCTAACCCCACCCCAACCCTCACAGTACTGTGAAAATATTAATTATTGTTATACAGTGTCATTAAAAGATGCTGCTTTATTAACGTGCATATCGCACTTCCGGCCGGCCGCATATCCGATCTAGACGTTACCTATTTTAAGCTCTTTGGTTGTCTAATACAGTGGTTCTCAAAGTGGGGGTCGCGGGACAATGACAAGGGGTCGCTTGGTGATATCCAAAAACTCAAATAAATTTTATTAAACTATTAGAATTACCATATTTTATTCATAACCGACAGAATATGGTTAATAGTTGCATTAAAGAAACAACAACATAAAAATAACAATCAGCCATCAGCCTTTAATTTTAATTAAAAAATAATTAAATCCATAAATGACTTTAAAAAACATTATATGGCTAATAGGCTGTTGCAGTTTTGTGTTGTAAATAAGCTCATGTTTATATTTGCCTATAGTTGTGTCTGCAACTTTTACATATTTACAGTACAACCACCTTGAAAAATGGGGGTCGCGAGCCACTGATATGATCATTTTTGGGGTTGCGGGCTAAAAAGTTTGGGAAACCCTGGTCTAATAAATGACAGTAGGCTATTTTTTTTATTTTATTTAAAACTTTAACAGATTGCTATTTTTCCTAATGATATATGATGGAATAAATTTGTATTTTAAAAATGTAGTCTTTAAGCAAATATTTTTTAGGAAATATTTTTAGTACATCAAAAAAAAAAGTGTGGTTATGATGGCATCTGACTAGCTTATCCAGCAAAAAAAAAAAAAGTCATTAAAATGCAGTATTTAAATCTCACAGTTAAATAAAAACGCGTATGACTGCAAAAAGGCCCGCTTTTTGGGGAAAAAAAAACAACCACTCCTTTCATCAGGCTGGCTACAGGCCATACAGTGTTCATCCTGGAACTTCCAATAACCCTAACGGTCCGCCCATAGATATATACACTAGATATCGCATAGGGACTCTGAGCATGCGTCAATAGCGCCGCCACATTGGTACAGGGCTCCCAGGACAAACGTCATTCAACCGCACTAGTCAACACAGTGTTATTACGTGAAGATGCGGGACTTTAGCGCTGTCTACGAGTGTAGTAACGAGCAAACAAAGAAAACAAAACACAAAGGCAGAACATTTCAGAGGTAACATTAAGTTTCTTTCTGTTTTTATATGTTTTGAACTTTTGTGCTAATCAGGTCACGTTATTGATGATAACAGTCACTTACTGCATTCACCATACGGCAAAGCAGCTCCAACTCGCACTAAACACTCGGCTTATGCTAGTTTTGTTAAAATAAAATCAGCAAACAATGCAAAAGAAATATGACAACGAGATGCTGCGCTGCCAGAAACTTGTATTATTGTCGGCTAACGTTAGTGAAAGAGTCGTTCAGGGGATTCATTCACAAACGAATCGCTCCCTCCGTCAGTATGAGCAGTGAAAGCAGGAGAGGAGCTGTGTTTCAGGACATGATTAGATCAAGTTTAACAGGGAGGGTGAATAGTACATTTCAGTACACACAAACACAAGCTTTTTGTCAGGAATGCCCGTGCGGTCACTGATCCATCAATGTAGAAAAGTGATGTAAAATTATAATTTTCGTAATTAAAAAAAAAAAATTACATACTAACATCCAGGAAAACTCCCGATCATAGATATATGTGTATATGTGTATATCTCTGGCTTTGCATGGCCACAATCCTCCACTGTACCTTGGTCCCGCATTCATTTCAAAGGAGCGCTACCCTGTAGCAAGATGGCGGCGCTATTGACGCATTCCGCCCAATAGACAACAATAGGCCAGGCGACATCTAGTGTATATATCTATGCCGTCCGCCAGTGAACACATCCACACTCACGCGTCTGCAGTTTTGGACTCTGGCGCCATCTTGTGAGTGAACAATGCACAGGTTAGTGTAAACACTTACGGTATTTCAGAAATAATCTATGTTCAGCTGCTTTGACACAATCTACATTATAAAAGCGCTATAGAAATGCAGATGAACTGAACTGGATATCCCACAACAACTCATGTAATTCATTTCAACACAGCTTTTTTTTTTTTTTTTTTTAAATAATGTGTATTTCAGAAAGATGTACAGAAAGTGTGTCGTTTATATGTACACAAACATAAATAAGAAACCATGCACAGATACTGCTGAATCACCACGGAATACAAAAGCGCGCGAAAAGCGTAAACAAACGGCACGTCGTTTAAAAAGCCTTCAGAGGACGGAGCTCAACCTAAAGCGAAGATGAGGAGAGACTACAGTCGTCAAACAATCTGAACAGTTTCAAAATGCTGCTGGCAAAACCGCCTCAGAAATATCAAATGGGTATTAAAGCTGTCGAATCAGTTTTACATTCAGCTAACACACACTCACAAAACAAAGGAGATAATAACACTGACACTTTGGGTTGGCCTCACACGTTCAACTCCATAAGCCCTTTAGTGCAAGAGAGATTTCAACGGCGGAGGACGCGAGCGGGGCTCAAGCACTCATAAACGACCCGACATTAAAAACGCGACGTCTGCTGGGTGGCTTCAAAAGTGTCTTTGTGGACGGAGTGTTTCCAGGAACTGTGCTCAGGTGCTGCTCTGCTTCATCCCGCCGAGGCTTCAGTCTAGTGCGCGTTCGCAGGTTCTTAAAGGGACAGTTCACCGTGAAATTAAAACGGGCTGATTTCTGTAGACGAGAGAGAAACGCAAGTAAACCCTGCTGAAAATACCAGCGTAAACAAGCCCAGGCTGGTTTTAGCTGGTCGACCTGGCTGGTTTTAGTCATTTCCAGCCTGGTCTTAGCTGGTCAGGCTGGGAGATGACCAGCTAAAACCAGCTTCGCCAGGCTGGGTGCCCAGCCAAAACCTGCTATGTCCAGCTTAATCCAGGCTGGTCATTTTCCAGCCTGACCAGCTAAGACCAGACTGGAAATGGCTGGAAACCAGCCTGGAAATGGCCAAAACCCCTCTAAAACCAGCCTGTTCAACCAGCTAAAACCAGCTAACCAGCCTAGGCTGGATTTTTCAGCAGGGAAGTCTTTGGATAATGTGTAACATCAAAACCAGGCATGTCCAAACTCGCTCCTGGAGGGCCGGTGTCCTGCAAGGCTTAGCTCAGACACACCTGGGCAAGCTAATCAAGCTCTTACTAGGCTTTCTAGAAACATCCTTACAGGTGTGTTGAGGCAAGTATGAGCTAAAACCCGCAGGTTTGAACTCCCCTGATCTAAACCCTTAATGTGTACTTATTATTATTATTATTGTATCATTTTTATATTTAATTTAGTTTAGCTGTTATACTTTTTAATATTATATAGTTTTACGATGTATCCGTTTCATTTTTGCTCTATGAAGGTCCATATTTGTTTAAACGTCAACTGTTAATTGTAAATCTCCGAGCCGAAGGCCATTCGCTGCCTAAAACATATGTTGGATAAGTTGGCGGTTCATTCCGCTGTGGCGACCCCTGATTGAGTAAGGGACTGAGCCGGAAATGAACATCTGCTGCTGTTAAATGTGTAAATCTGGAATGTTCCACTGAGTTAAAACACAAATGACCTCATTTTTTTCTCCTTGTGATTTTACCAGTTCCTTTCACACAAAAGGAGATGTTTTGTAAAATGTTGACACCCACCGACTACCATAGGTAATACTGTAGAAGTGCCGGATTCCAGCATATTTCTAAACATCAACAGGACCCAGCAAACGATGTTGCGTTTAACAGACGTAGACAGCTCGGCTAAAACAAGGCTAAACTTGGGCTGCCAGTGAAAATCTAACAGACGTCTAAGAATAGCCCAAATCTAGACTGGTCTTTAGATGTGAAGCCATTCATTCATTTTCTTGTCGGCTTGGTCCCTTTATTAATACGGGGTCGCCACAGCGGAATGAACCGCCAACTTATCCAGCAAGTTTTAGTGTAGCCATTCATTTCTGTGTATTTAAGGACTAGTCATTAATTTCTGAGTGAACTAACCCTTTAAATCAAGATTTGTGTAGACAAATAAGATTATCTCATCAAGACATTAAAATAAAAAATCAAGCGTCTTGATATCAGAAAGATTAATCAAGTTTTCCACCTAAGAACAAGCAAAATTATGTTAAATCTGGTGTATTTGGTCACCAAATTGGGTTAAAGAGACACTTGTTTTTACACAGATTTGTGCCTATTCAGAACATCTTTTCTGATTTAAAAGCACAGTTCACTCAAAATATATGTACTATTTACTCTCCCTCGAGTGTTTCACAAAATTAGGCATTTTAAAGCAAGCTAAAAACCGGTAACCATTGACTTATATTGTCAAAAAGAAAGTACAATAGAAGTCAATGGTTACCGGCTCCCAACATTCCTCAAAACATCTTATTTAGTGCTCGACAGAGGAAATCAACTCAAACAGGTTTTGAGCACGAGTGAGAAAATGAGCGAATTTAAATTTCTGAGTGAACTAACCCTTTAAATCAGGAAGTATTTTCTAGATGAGGACCGAATATCTTACATACAAAGTGTCTTGATTTCAGAGAGATTAAGCAAGTTTTCCCTTCTAAAACAGGCAAAATAATGTCAAATCAGGTGTTTTTGGTCTGTTTTAAAGAGACTCTTACTTATTTTAGTTGTTTTTTCAGAAATTTCTACTAATTCTGAACATGTTTCCTGATTTAAAAGGACAGTTCCCCAAAAATATACTCGCTATTTACTCTTCCTCCAAGTTTCTCTATTGAGTTTCTCTCACAAAAATTTGTTTTAAAAAAATACTAAAAACCGGTAACCATTGACTTCCATTGTAGAAAAGAAAACACATTGGGAGCCGATGGTTACCGGTTTCCAGCATTCTTCAAAACATCTTATTTAGTGTTCGACAGAAGAAAGAAACTCAAACAGCATTTGAAACAAGTAAAGGATGAGTAAATGACGACACAAGTGTCTTGTTTTTGGTTAAGGTTAAGTAGGTTAAGGTTAGGGCTATGGTTAACTGTCTATTTAAGAATGTTTGGGTCTGAAACTTACTCTCCCTCAAGTGTTTCCAAACCTCTATAAGTTTCTTTCACAAAATTAGGTGTTTTAAAGAAAGCTAAAAACCGGTAACCATTGACTTTCATTGTAGAAAATACAATGGAAGTCAATGGTTACCGGTTTCCAACATTCTTAATGAATATAGTAATGAATATCTTATCAAGATATTAAAATAAACCTACAAAGTGTCTTGATTTCAGAAAGATTAAGCAGGTTTTCTCTTCTAAAACAGGCAAAATAATGTCAAATCAGGTGTTTTTGGTCTGATTTAAAAAGACTCTTACTTAATTTAGTTGTTTTTTCAGATATTTATGCTCATTCTGAACATGTTTCCTGATTTAAAAGGACAGTTCCCCAAAAATATACTCGCTATTTACTCTCCCTCCAAGTTTCTCTATTGAGTTTCTCACAAAAATTTGTTTAAAAGAAAAAAAAAACGGTAACCATTGACTTCCATTGTAGAAAAGAAAATACAATGGGAGCAAATGGTTACCGGTTTCCAGCATTCTTCAAAACATCTTATTGAGTGTTCGACAGAAGAGGAAAAACCAAAGTAAAGGATGAGTAAATGACGACACAAGTGTCTTGTTTTTGGTTAAGGTTAAGTAGGTTAAGGTTAGGGCTATGGTTAACTGTCTATTTAAGAATGGTTAGGTCTGAAACTTACTCTCCCTCAAGTGTTTCCAAACCTCTATGAGTTTCTTTCACAAAATTAGGTGTTTTAAAGAAAGCTAAAAGCCGGTAACCATTGACTTCCATTGTAGAAAATACAATGGAAGTCAATGGTTACCGGTTTCCACCATTCTTAATGAATATACTAATGAATATCTTATCAAGATATTAAAATAAACCTACAAAGTGTCTCGATTTCAGAAAGATTAAGCAGGTTTTCTCTTCTAAAACAGGCAAAATAATGTCAAATCAGGTGTTTTTGGTCTGATTTAAAGAGACTCTTACTTATTTTAGTTGTTTATTCAGATATTTGTGCTCATTCTGAACATGTTTCCTGATTTAAAAGGACAGTTCCCCAAATATATACTCGCTATTTACTCTCCCTCCAAGTTTCTCTATTGAGTTTCTCCCACAAAAATTTGTTTTAAAAAAATAATAAAAACCGGTAACCATTGACTTCCATTGTAGAAAAGAAAACACATTGGGAGCCGATGGTTACCGGTTTCCAGCATTCTTCAAAACATCTTATTTAGTGTTCGACAGAAGAAAGAAACTCAAACAGCATTTGAAACAAGTAAAGGATGAGTAAATGACGACACAAGTGTCTTGTTTTTGGTCAAGGTTAAGTAGGTTAAGGTTAGGGCTATGGTTAACTGTCTATTTAAGAATGTTTGGGTCTCAAACTTACTCTCCCTCAAGTGTTTCCAAACCTCTATAAGTTTCTTTCACAAAATTAGGTGTTTTAAAGAAAGCTAAAAACCGGTAACCATTGACTTTCATTGTAGAAAATACAATGGAAGTCAATGGTTACCGGTTTCCAACATTCTTAATGAATATAGTAATGAATATCTTATCAAGATGTTAAAATAAACCTACAAAGTGTCTTGATTTCAGAAAGATTAAGCAGGTTTTCTCTTCTAAAACAGGCAAAATAATGTCAAATCAGGTGTTTTTGGTCTGATTTAAAGAGACTCTTACTTAATTTAGTTGTTTTTTCAGATATTTATGCTCATTCTGAACATGTTTCCTGATTTAAAAGGACAGTTCCCCAAAAATATACTCGCTATTTACTCTCTCTCTAAGTTTCTCTGTTGAGTTTCTCACAAAAATTTGTTTAAAAAAAAAAAAAAAAAACGGTAACCATTGACTTCCATTGTAGAAAGGAAAATACAATGGGAGCCAATGGTTACCGGTTTCCAGCATTCTTCAAAACATCTTAATTAGTGTTCGACAGAAGAAAGAAACTCAAACAGGTTTGGAACAAGTAAATGAAGACACAAGGGTCTTGCTTTTGGTTAAGCTTAAGTAGGTTAAGGTTAGGACTACGGTTAACTGTCCATAAACTCAATTCCTGGAGGGCCGCAGCTCTGCAGTTTTGCCCCAGCCCTAATCAAACGCAGCTAATCCAACTAAACAAATGTGTTCAAGACAAGTAGAGACTATTAAGCAGGTGTGTTTTTGGTCTGTTAAAGAGACACGCACTTATTTCTGCACACATTTGTGCTCACTCTGAACATGTTTCCGGATTTAAAAGGATAGTTCACCAAAAATATACACACTACTTACTCTCCCTCAAGTGTTTCCAAACCTTTATGAGTTTCTTTAACAAAATTAAACTAATTTAAAGAAAGGTAACCATTGACTTCCATTGTAGAAAATACAATGGAAGTCAATGGCTACCACTTTCCAACATTCTTCAAAACATCTTCTTTAGTGTTCGACAGATGAAAGAAACTCGAGGACTACAGAAGGGTGGTGTTTTTGGTTTGAGCTTAAGCAGGTTAAGGTTAGGGCCATGGTTAACTGTCCGTTTAAGAATGCTTGGATGTGTGGCCTAGAAACAAGACGGACAATCATTATTAGCCAGCGTCAGGAGAGACGTCACCTTCGCTAGAAGATCACGGAGGACGTTCGCTGGACGTCTTCATTCAGCGATCAGAAAGGACAACGACGGTCATGTGTGAGCTGGTTAGCGCTGTGTTTAAGGCCTAGAGCTGCGAGGAAACATCCTTCGGAAAAAAACAGACCACACACCGAAACACCAGCGATACCGTGAAAACCTACAGACGTCTGTCTGTCTGTCTGTGTGTGTAGGGAGGGGTGAGGGTCGGCACGTCTCACTGAGTGTGTAAGCAGCAGTGTATTTACATGAACCACACTGGTTTACTGTGTTTCGCTTCCCTTTTCACCGTACAGTGGAGCGCCGATTTAGCTCCACGCTGCAAGAAACGCCTTTCGCACTTCGTGTTTTCGTCTCGTTTCCAGTCTAAATATCTAAGAACTCTCAAATCAAGAAGCTTTTTCTGGATAAGCTGAAAAAAATTGTCTATTTTCAGAAATAATACATCAAAATTAAGTGTTTTTATCCTTAAAACAAGCAAAATAATCTTAATTAAAGCGAAAACGGATCATTTGTGCCTGTTTTAAAGCTAAAACTCGCTTAATTTTGACGTATTATTTCTGTTTTTTTCAGCTTACCTTCTTGATTCGAGAGTTTTTAGATATTTGCACTGGAGACGAGATGAAAACTCGACGTACGAACGCCGTTTCTCGCAGCGCAGGTCTGGAGTCCGGCAGCTGGAAGAGGCACTTCTTGATGCAGGTCGTTGGCGTCTCCTCTTCTCGTCCGCTGTCGAGTGTTTGTTTTTGGTTGCGTTCGTTCGTTCGTCCGGACGGCGGGCGGCAGTTCCTCATGGCCTGATGTGAGGAGGCACTTGGTAACTTTGTGTTCTCTGAGATGCTATGTCATCAGGATGGGCTTTTGTCTGACCTCCAGGATATCTGAAAGGGAAGC